CAATTCGGTGTTAACCATATGAGCGTGCAACAGCTGAGTTAGTGAGAGCGCTGGGACTACCTACCTATCTACATAATAGGACAAGGCTATTCTTACCCGGAAAGTAAGGTCGGAAAAACCTTGCTATATATTGTCATACGGGATTAACCTGCCTAGGTAAGTTCCATTGTAGTATTTAGTGTTATTTTAAAATTGTTAAATGACATGTCACACGTTTCAAAAGGGAAACGATAGTATTTGTGTGTTATAGAAAAGTATAAAAAATATGATACTATTATTATATGATATTTATATAGCGCACATATCCAGGCAACTAGTGCTTGCTCAAGGCGCTAGTATATCATATATGCATATGAACTTTTGTTAGTTTAATTTGCACAAATACAAATAAATATAAACCTGTATAACTTATTAGATAATTGTGTACAATTTTGATAAAACGTTCTACATTAGTAAATTAGATAGTATTTATAGTAAACCTTTACACAACAGAGACCTCATTTGCAACAGCTAAAAAGGTTCACATCATTCTGTACCAACACTCCACCCCACTGACGTGACGTTTAACCTGCTTCCACGTAGGGAATCTGTAGTAGATACAGGATACACTACCTTGTTATAGCACACTGTTAGCTGGGCTGAAGGTTTGGTGATATTCTCGTCACAATATTATAGGGGTCCTGTCACTAAATGTTGGCCGTAGTAACAAATTCGAACACTTCATCGTATATATTTCATAATAACACAGTATATCAACATGAATGAATACAAGGTGTAGGAGTTTGGTGAGTTGCACCCAGAGCCCGCTTGTGTACTTCCGCCTTGATGTTGGCCCTGTCCGGGCTGAGGTCGCCGTCCTCAAACCAGTGTGAGAGTTTGCTAAACACACACACTCTAACACTTTCAAAACAACCGTTACCAATCAATGCGATGTAACCCCGCGTGCACCCAGTGCCTGGCCAGGTCGCCATTGCCTTGGACGACGGCACCAGGAAACAGACACCGTTATTTATTTCATCTATAAAAGAAGACGGTACAGAATACAAATGTATGTATCCAAAAAGGACAAAGATGTCAGTGATGCTTCTTTTACACGTCATATATGATAGAAATTGGTAAATATTTCAGTATCGGATTTTTCGGTTACACGGAGGACAAGTTTAAATCGCTCTTGAATTGGAGCGATATGATTAGATGGTTTAACTGTGTATGCAAGTGAACTTGCTAATAAGAATATTATTTTCGAAAAGTTAGTTGGAACACCTTAAAAAGACTTTTTTTGTGAGAGAAAAAGGATGGATGTGAAATTGTTATAGTTGTGTTTTCTGTCACTTGTTTGCGTTTTCCTGAGATTGATTTCAACATCCCGTGTCACAGTCAAACTTACCTGTCCCTTGGTATTTATCAGCGTCGACATCGGTTACAGTGACGCGTAGCCATTGTTGGTGAATGCCTCTACAATTAGCGCTAAATGTGCAATGAGATACTAATTGCAACCCCTGTCGCCTGTATGGCTATTTAAATAACGCTGTGTAATCCTGTGAGGAATCACTTTGGTACAGTCATGTGTAGAGTCACCCCTTCTGTGTAGTCATGTAAAGAGTCACCCCTTCTGTGTAGTCATGTAAAGAGTCACCCCTTCTATGTAGTCATGTGTAGAGTCACCCCTTCTGTGTAGTCATGTGTAGAGTCACTCCTTCTGTGTATTCATGTAAAGAGTCACCCCTTCTATGTAGTCATGTACGGAGTCACCCCTTCTATGTAGTCATGTATGGAGTCACCCCTTCTGTGTAGTCATGTGTGGAGTCACCCCTTCCGTGTAGTCATGTGTGGAGTCACTCCTTCTGTGTAGTCATGTAGTTCATGTAGTCATGTAGAGTCACCCCTTCTGTAGTCATGTAAAGAGTCACCCCTTCTATGTAGTCATGTGTGGAGTCATCCCTTCTATGTAGTCATGTGTGGAGTCACCCCTTCTGTGTAGTCATGTGTGGAGTCACCCCTTCCGTGTAGTCATGTGTGGAGTCACTCCTTCTGTGTAGTCATGTGTAGAGTCACCCCTTCTATGTAGTCATGTGTAGAGTCACCCCTTCTGTGTAGTCATGTGTGGAGTCACCCCTTCTATGTAGTCATGTGTAGAGTCACCCCTTCTGTGTAGTCATGTGTGGAGTCACTCCTTCTGTGTAGTCATGTGTAGAGTCACCTCTTCTATGTAGTCATGTGTAGAGTCACCCCTTCTATGTAGTCATGTGTAGAGTCACCCCTTCTATGTAGTCATGTGTAGAGTCACTCCTTCTATGTAGTCATGTGTAGAGTCATCCCTTCTATGTAGTCATGTGTAGAGTCACCCCTTCTGTGTAGTCATGTGTGGAGTCACTCCTTCTGTGTAGTCATGTGTAGAGTCACCCCTTCTGTGTAGTCATGTGTAGAGTCACCCCTTCTATGTAGTCATGTAAAGAGTCACTCCTTCTGTAGCCATGTGTAGAGTCACCCCATTTGTATGGCCGTGTTAGGAGTCACAGTGACAGTGGATAACACTCAAATAAACTCCATGTCTTCAACAAAGACATACAAATAATGTGACTTGGAAATGATATCCCTGACACTTATGATCACGTGATTCGCTCCGCTAATACCCCTTGAAATTGTCTCACAATAGCCCTTTATCCAGCCCGTTAGAAGCTCTATAGCAATAACTCTTAGTCCTGTATCCCCGGATTCTATTTGTAGGTCAATCTATCCTTTTTTGATGGTGTCTGTATGACAGTATATCTTGATTCCGTCACTAACACAAAACCCCGTGATTCTGTATGTATGGCAATATCCTTTCAATGTGTCTGTATTATATTGTCCCTTGATTCTTTCTGGATGACAATATCCACCGATTCTGTCCATATGACGATACCCTTCATTGTATCTGCCGGTCTACATCCATGATGCTCACTTAACGTTGATGTTAAGATACCATTGATTCCATCTGTATGTCAGTATGCGTTTTTCTTGCTTTATTACGTTACGTCATATCATGACCACGTTCTGACTGTGCATAACAATGTCAGTGAGATATTTGGCAATGTCAGTGGGTCAGAGATATTTGACAATATCAGTGGGTCAGAGATATTTGACAATATCAGTGGGTCAGAGATATTTGACAATATCAGTGGGTCAGATATATTTGGCAATGTCAGTGGGTCAGATATATTTGACAATATCAGTGGGTCAGAGATATTTGACAATATCAGTGGGTCAGAGATATTTGACAATGTCAGTGGGTCAGAGACAATATCAGTTGAGATAAATGTCAGTGGGTCAGAGATATTTGACAATATCAGTGGGTCAGAGATATTTGACAATGTCAGTGGGTCAGAGATATTTGACAATGTCAGTGAGTCAGAGATATTTGACAATGTCAGTGGGTCAGAGATATTTGACGATGTTAGCTGTGTGATATATGACAGTGATGTCAGGTGGGTGACGTATGACAATGATTCCAGGTGTGGGATGTATGACAATGATTCCAGGTGTGGGATGTATGACAATGATTCTAGGTGTGGGATGTATGACAATGATTCCAGTTGGGGCATGTATGACAATGATTCCAGGTGGGGGATGTATGACAATGATTCCAGGTGTGGGATGTATGACAATGATTCCAGGTGGGGGATGTTGGACAATGATTCCAGTTGGGTGGGATGTACCGCGTGACAATGATTCAAGGTGGGGGATGTATGACAATGATTCCAGGTGTTGGATGTATGACAATGATTCCAGTTGGGGGATGTATGACAATGATGTCAGATGGATGATGTATGACAATGATTCCAGGTGGGTGATGTATGACAATGATTCCAGGTGTGGGATGTATGACAATGATTCCAAGTGGGGGATGTATGACAATGAATCCAGTTGGGGAATGTATGACAATGATTCCAGGTGGGGGATGTATGACAATGATTCCAGGTGTGGGATGTATGACAATGATGTCAGGTGGGTGATGTATGATAATGATTCCAGTTGGGGGATGAATGACAATGATTCCAGGTGGGGGATGTATTACAATGATTCCAGGTGTGGGATGTACGACAGGTGATTGATGTATGACAATGATGTCGGCTGCTTGATGTATGGCAGTGATATCAGGTGGGGTATGACAATGATTCCAGGTGTGGGATATATCACAATGATTCCAGGTGGGTAATGTATGACAATGATTCCAGTTGGGGGATGTATGACAATGATTCCAGGTGTGGGATGTATGACAATGATGTCAGGTGGGTGATGTGTGGCAATGATCTCAGGTGGGTGATGTATGACAATGATTCCAGGTGGGGGATGTATGACAATGATTCCAGGTGGGTGATGTATGACAATGATTCCAGGTGGGGGATGTATGACAATGATTCCAGGTGGGGGATGTATGACAATGATTCCAGGTGTGGGATGTATGACAATGATTCCAGTTGGGGGATGTATGACAATGATGTCAGGTGGGGGATGTATGGCAGATATCTCAGGTGGGGGATGTATGACAATGATTCCAGGTTGGTGATGTATGACAATGATTCCAGGTTGGTGATGTATGACAATGATTCCAGGTGTGGGATGTACGACGATGATGTCAGGTGGGGGATATATTGCAATGATATCAGGTGATTGATGTATGACAATGATGTCGGCTGCTTGATGTATGGCAGTGATATCAGGTGGGTGATGTATGACAATGATGACATCTGCTTAATGTATGGCAATGATGTCGGCTGCTTTATGTATGGCAATGATAATAGGTGGATGATATATGGCAATGATATCAGGTGGGTGATGTATGACAATGGTGACATCTGCTTAATGTATGGCAGTGATAATAGGTGGATGATATATGGCAATGATATCAGGTGGAATATGTATGACAATGATGACAGCTGCTTGGTGTATGACAATGATGTCAGGTGTGTGATGTATGACAATGATGTCAGTTGCTTAATGTATGACACTGCCTGTTGCAGATACCGGCATCATGCCTGAGCTGATCGGCGGTGTCCACATGTCCACAGGACTAACACTGGACGCCATCGCCTGCAAGGAAGAAGACGCTGTGGTAGTTGACTACATTCTCAAAGGTGAGAAAACGAAACCGTGTTCAGACTATGTATGAAGGGGCATACGCTTAATTGTATCAGCACGTCCCAAACTGTAGTCACCTGTAGCATGTATAGAGGTATTACAACAAGGGTGACTTTAGTATATGGTATTACTGCAAGAATGTCTTCTGTTTGATAGTATTACTACAAGGATGTCTTTTGTATAGAGGTATTACAACAAGGTTGTCTTCTGTGTGAAGGCATTACTACAAGGATGTCTTCTGTATGACGGCATTACTACAAGGATGTCTTCTGTATGACGGCATTACTACAAGGATGTCTTCCGCATAAAGATGTATTGCTGCAAGGATGTCTTCTGTATGACGGAATTACTACAAGGATGTCTTCTGTATTATGGTATTTCTGCAATGATGTATTCTGTATAGAGGTATTACTGTAAGGATGTATTCTGTATGATGGTATTACTGCAAGGATGTCTTCTGTATGACGGCATTACTACAAGGATGTCTTCTGTATGACGGCATTACTACAAGGATGTCTTCTGTAATGACGGCATTACTACAAGGATGTCTTCTGTATGACGGCATTACTACAAGGATGTCTTCTGTAATGACGGCATTACTGCAATAATGTATTCTGTATAGAACTATTACTACAAGGATGTCTTCTGTATGATGGTATTACTGCAAGGATGTCTTCTGTATGATGGTATTACTGCAAGGATGTCTTCTGTATGACGGCATTACTGCAATAATGTATTCTGTATAGAGGTATTACTACAAGGATTTCTTCTGTATGATGATATTACTACACGGATGTCTTCTGTATGACGGTATTATTGCAATGATGTATTCTGTATGTCGGCATTACTGCAATGATGTAATCTGTATAGAGGTATTACTACACGGATCTCTTCTGTATGATGATATTACTACACGGATGTCTTCTGTATGACGGTATTACTGCAATGATGTATTCTGTATGTCGGCATTACTGCAAGGATGTCTTCTGTATGATGGTATTACTGCAAGGAAGTCTTCTGTATAGAGGTATTACTGCCAGGATGTCTTCTGTATGACGGCATTACTACAAGGATGTCTTCTGTATGTCGGTATTACTGCAATAATGTATTCTGTATGACGGTATTACTGCAAGGATGTCTTCTGTATAGAGGTATTACTGCAATGATGTATTCTGTATGATGGTACTACTGCAATGATGTCTTCTGTATGACGGCATTACTGCAATGATGTATTCTGCATAGAGGTATTACTGCAATGATGTCTTCTGTATGATGATATTACTACACGGATGTCTTCTGTATGACGGTATTACTGCAATGATGTATTCTGTATGACGGCATTACTGCAATGATGTATTCTGTACAGAGGTATTTCTGCCAGGATGTCTTCTGTATAGAGGTATTACTACAAGGATGTCTTCTGTATGACGGCATTACTACAAGAATGTCTTCTGTATGATGGTATTACTGCAAGGATGTCTTCTGTATGACGGTATCACTGCAATGATGTCTTCTGTATGACGGTATTACTGCAATGATGTATTCTGTATGATGGTATTACTACAAGGATGTCTTCTGTATAGAGGTATTACTACAAGGATGTCTTCTGTATGACGGCATTACTACAAGAATGTCTTCTGTATGATGGTATTACTGCAATGATGTCTTCTGTATGACGGTATTACTGCAATGATGTCTTCTGCATGACTGTATTACTGCAATGATGTATTCTGTATGATGATCTTACTACAAGGATGTCTTCTGTATAGAGGTATTACTACAAGGATGTCTTCTGTATGACGGCATTACTACAAGGATGTCTTCTGTATGACAAGGATGTCTTCTGTATGACGGTATTACTGCAAGGATGTCTTTTGTATAGAGGGATTGCTGCAAGGATGTCTTCTGTATAGAAGTATTACTACAAGGATGTCTTCTGTATGACGGCATTACTACAAGGAAGTCTTCTGTAATGACGGCATTACTGCAATAATGTATTCTGTATAGAAGTATTACTGCAAGGATGTCTTCTGTAAGATGGTATTACTGCAAGGATGTCTTCTTTATGATGGTATTACTACAAGGATGTCTTCTGTATGATGATATTACTACACGGATGTCTTCTGTATGACGGTATTACTGCAATGATGTATTCTGTATGTCGACATTACTGCAAGTATGTCTTCTGTATGACGGTATTACTGCAAGGAAGTCTTCTGTATAGAGGTATTACTGCCAGGATGTCTTCTGTATGACGGCATTACTACAAGGATGTCTTCTGTATGATGGTATTACTGCAATGATGTCTTCTGTATAGAGGGATTGCTGCAAGGATGTATTCTGTATAGAGGTATTACTGCAATGATGTATTCTGTATAGAGGTATTACTGCAATGATGTATTCTGTATGTTGGCATTACTGCCAGGATGTCTTCTGTATAGAGGTATTACTGCAAGGATGTCTTCTGTATGATGGTATTACTGCAAGGATGTCTTCTGTATAGAGGTATTACTGCAATGATGTATTCTGTATGATGATATTACTACACGGATGTCTTCTGTATGACGGTATTACTGCAATGATGTATTCTGTATGACGGTATTACTGCAAGGATGTCTTCTGTATGATGGCATTACTGCAATGTATAGAGGTATTACTACAAGGATGTCTTCTGTACAACGGCATTACTGCAATGATGTATTCTGTACAGAGGTATTACTGTCAGGATGTCTTCTGTATGACGGTATTACTGCAAGGATGTATTCTGTACAGAGGTATTAGTGCAAGGAAGTCTTCTGTATAGAGGTATTACTACAAGGATGTCTTCTGTATGACGGCATTACTACAAGGATGTCTTCTGTATGATGGTATTACTGCAAGGATGTCTTCTGTATGACGGTATTACTGCAATGATGTCTTCTGTATGACGGTATTACTGCAATGATGTATTCTGTATGATGGTATTACTACAAGGATGTCTTCTGTATAGAGGTATTACTACAAGGATGTCTTCTGTATGACAGCATTACTACAAAGATGTCTTCTGTATGATGGTATTACTGCAATGATGTCTTCCGTATGTCGGCATTACTGCAAGGATATCTTCTGTACAACGGCATTACTACAAGGATGTCTTCTGTATGGCGGTATTACTGCAAGGATGTCTTCTGTATAGAGGGATTGCTGCAAGGATGTCTTCTGTATAGAAGTATTACTGTAAGGATGTCTTCTGTATGACGGCATTACTACAAGGAGGTCTTCTGTATAGAGGAATTACTACAACGATGTCTTCTGTAGGATGGTATTACTGCAATGATGTATTCTGTATAGAGGTATTTCTGCAATGATGTATTCTGTACAGAGTTATTACTGCCAGGATGTCTTCTGTATGTCGGCATTACTGCAATGATGTATTCTGTATGATGGTATTACTGCAATGATGTATTCTGTATGATGATGTCTTCTGTGTGTCGGCATTACTGCAATGATGCCTTCTGTATGATGGTATTACTGCAAGGGTGTCTTCTATATGATGGTGTTACTGTGAGGTTGTCTTCTATATGATGGTATTACTGCAAAGGTGTCTTCTATATGATGGTGTTACTGTGAGGTTGTCTTCTATATGATGTTGTCTTCTATATGATGGTATAACTGTGAGGTTGTCTTCTATATGATGGTGTTACTGTGAGGTTGTCTTCTATATGATGGTGTTACTGTGAGGTTGTCTTCTATATGAAAGTGTTAATGTGAGGTTGTCTTCTATATGATGGTGTTACTGTGAGGTTGTCTTCTATATGATGTTGTTACTGTGAGGTTGTCTTCTATATGATGGTGTTACTGAGAGTTTGTCTTCTGTATGATGGTATTACTGCAATGATGTATTCCGTATGTCGGCATTACTGCAAGGATGTCTTCTGTACAACGGCATTACTACAAGGATGTCTTCTGTATGACGGTATTACTGCAAGGATGTCTTCTGTATAGAGGGATTGCTGCAAGGATGTCTTCTGTATAGAAGTATTACTGTAAGGATGTCTTCTGTATGACGGCATTACTACAAGGATGTCATAGGGGATTGCTGCAAGGATGTCTTCTGTATAGACGGCACTGTAAGGATGTCTTCTGTATGACGGCATTACTACAAGGATGTCTTCTGTACAACGGCATTACTACAAGGATGTCTTCTGTATGAGGGTATTACTGCAAGGGTGTCTTCTGTATAGAGGGATTGCTGCAAGGATGTCTTCTGTATAGAAGTATTACTGTAAGGATGTCTTCTGTATGATGGCATTACTACAAGGATGTCTTCTGTATAGAGGAATTACTACAACGATGTCTTCTGTATGATGGTATTACTGCAATGATGTATTCTGTATAGAGGTATTACTGCAATGATGTCTTCTGTACAGAGGTATTACTGCCAGGATGTCTTCTGTATGTCGGCATTACTGCAATGATGCCTTCTGTATGATGGTATTACTGCAAGGGTGTCTTCTATATGATGGTGTTACTGTGAGGTTGTCTTCTATATGATGGTATTACTGCAAGGGTGTCTTCTATATGATGGTGTTACTGTGAGGTTGTCTTCTATATGATGGTATAACTGTGAGGTTGTCTTCTATATGATGGTGTTACTGTGAGGTTGTCTTCTATATGATGGTGTTACTGTGAGGTTGTCTTCTATATGAAAGTGTTACTGTGAGGTTGTCTTCTATATGATGGTGTTACTGTGAGGTTGTCTTCTATATGATGTTGTTACTGTGAGGTTGTCTTCTATATGATGGTGTTACCTCGAGGTTGTCTTCTGTGTGATGGTGTTACCTCGAGGTTGTCTGATTGGTTATACTACTTCCAGTTGTTGTAATATTATGTATTTACACGGGTATCAGGGACACCAGACAGAAACGAGTTTAGCGTTCTGTTCAGGTCGTGGAGTCAGCGCCAAAGATAAGTACAGCGCGGCTTCCGCTGGCGATCTCCATCCACGGCTTCCCTT